ATTTATATCAACTTTTAATAATTTATAACTAACTGCTCTTTAAAATCTTAAGGTACATGTATTCATATTTAAATAAATTAATTTCTTAAAATATTACATCAAAAATTAAACATAAATTTAACCTACAAAACGAATTGCTTCACTTTCCTTTTATTCTACAACTGGAAAGGAAACAAAGTAATTTATTTCAACAGAAATTGGGTTGGAATTTAGAGTAACAGTCTCTAATTTCTAGAATGAATTATGTGTACTTTCCCTTCTAAACGAAACCATAAACAAACAGCATTAAAGATCAAATTAAAAAATTACACCCAATTCAAATATCATGCCAACCCAATCAACTATAAATCTACTTCATTAATTAAAGAAGCAAGCAAAATGGAACAGAAACTGTACCTTTTACAGTGACGAATTTCAACTCTCAAATTTCTTCCACCCTTCTTTAGTTTCTTCATCCTCCCTTCCCGTACTGCTACTGTGTTTTTCTGCATCTCTCCTCTTTCCATTGACTTTTTCTTCATTTCCAGGTTCTTCCTTTTCCTATTTAGCATGGATTTCTCTCTACCCGTGTCCAATTCCAGATTTTTCTAAATTAAAAATGTATTTTTTTGAAAAAAATAAGTAAATAAATAAGGAGAAAGGCTAACTTTTTCCCTTTCTTCTTTGCCGTAAATTCAACTGCGCCATTTCGCTTTCTTCAATTTAGTCTGGGTCCTGGAATTGGGCCTGTTCCAATGGAATGGAGAAGCTTAGGTTTCCTGTTGGGCTTTCCAAGCCCAATTTTGTTTTTCAAAATAAATAATTTTTTAAGCCCGATTTGTTTTCTGGTACCTTATTTTCCGTTGTCCTACGTTGATAACATTAATTAATAAAGGTTTATCATGTGGTAAATAATGGGAAAGATCGATTATAAAAAAAACAGGGAATGGAGATCACAATATTGTTCTTTTTAGTCCCAAAAAAATATATTATTTTGATCCCATACCCTGATCTAGTGGTTTAGATCTTAAGTTAATTTAGATTATTTCTTGTAGGTTATGTATTTGAACTCTACAAATTTCGTTTTTCAATCTCCTTTTTACTTAATATGTATTAACTTTTTTTCGTTTAAAAAATAAAAATACATTGTTCTTAACTTTATGTCTAAATTTAATGTATTTTTTTGATATGAACCATTCGATATTTGGAAGGCCATTACGCTACCAATTAATTTGGATTTGAGTTGAACATGATCCAACAGGCGGTAAAACTCTCTTTCATGAATTTTAACGGAACTGGATTCTCAAGATTTGAAATCAAAATCTCTAGTTAAACT